AGCAGCAGCAACAGCAGCAGCAGGAAAGCTGCAGGTATGGTACGGCAAGGGGCCCCCAGGGGGGCCCCCAGGGGGGCCCCCAAAGGGGCCCCCTAGAAAGTATGTACGATGCAAAGACTGCTGCTGCTTCTTGCTGCAGCCAACCAGCAGCAGCAGCAGCAGCAGCAGCAGCAGCAGCAGCAGCAGCAGCAGCAAGAATTGTTTTATTTTTGTGGATAAATGTATTGGTGAGGTATCGGATTTGTTGTTTTTTTTTTCTTCTTTTTTTTCTTTTTTTTGTGCTGCTGTGTTTCCCTCTTTGCTTCCTATATCTTTACGTTGGCTGCGGTTTGCTGCTGCACTGCAGCAGCAGCAGCAGCTGCTGCTGCAGCAGCTGCTGCTGCAGCAGCAAATAAAAACCAGACAAAAAGAACTGCAGCAATACTTCTGGTTGTCGCTTTGGTCCTGGCAGCAGCTCTGCGCCCTCCTGCCTCCTGCTGCTGCTCCCTTTCTCTTGCTGCTGCCGCAGCAGCAGCAGCAGCAGCAGCAGCAGCAACTGCAGCAGCAGCAGCAGCAACTGCAGCAGCAGCAGCAGCAACTGCAGCAGCAGCAGCAGCAACTGCAGCAGCAACTCTGTGTACAAACGCTCCCAATAAGCTGCGCTGATTTATCTTGGGAATCTTTGCTGCTGCCGCTGCAGCAGCAAATCCTGCTGCAGCCACACCAGCAGCAGCAGCAGCAGCAGCAGCAGCAGCAGCAGCAATCTTTCTCTGTTGTAACCCTCCACCTACGCCGCCTTCGCTTCGCCTTGCCGCAGCTGCCACCCAACGAGTTTACTCCCGCCTTAGCTGCACAGGTCAGCTCTGCAGCAGCAGCAGCAGCAGCAGCAGCAGCAGCAGCAGCAGCAACAGCAGCAGCAGCAGCAGCAGCAGCAGCAACAGCGGTAGCAGCAATAGCTGTTGTTCTAAGGGTTGTTGATTTAGATGCATTTGGAGATAAATCCTTAAGCCTCTGCAACACATTGATGTTTTGCTGCTGCTGCTGTTGCTGCTGTTGC